TACTACTAAGACTACAACCTATCTCACAAATAGATCATTTTTAAAACATCATTAAAAATAAGTATATAAAGGAAGAAAGACAAGGTGTTTCCAGATGTATCGACTGATTATGAAGACAGTTCAGACTTTACACGCAGCATCGTATCGCTGCTGTGGAGATGATTAAATATATCACAATCACTTCTCTGACATGATTACCACATTTCAAAACCAACCATATTACTTTTTGCTTTATATTTTGCTGTATCTAGCAACACAGTTGGGGCAGGGACAACTAACATTGAAATGTCTCTCATAACTACAGACACACAGCTACATCATTTGTAAAAGAGTAACATCCAGTCAAACAACGCCTGCAGCCACAAGATAATCACACAGATTAGATACAAGGTGTAAACATAGGTGTGAACATAGTATAACAAACCTAGATGGTGGATAACTAAACCGGCGCACCTACATTGTCTTACCTAATATTAGCTCACCTACAGCTAGATATAATTCATCGTCTCTACTCTGGCTCCTACACCAGCCTGGCAGCCATGGCAGCGAGGGAGAGTGACAGTCAGCCAGCCAATCATTGCATTTGGTCCGAATGAAACGAGTGGCCGTGTTTACAGCAGCCTTGAGAGGACCACAGACAGCCAATTTTTATACTCTCTTTTTCAGAGCACCTAACTTTTTAATATGCACTGGTGTATGTAGACGGTTTCAACAAATATGACAAAAAGTGTTTCAGAAGCAACTTGCCTACCCTGCCTTTAAGTTGTTCCAAAATAATAAATTTAATTCTGATGCTGGGCAACTTCAGCTAATTGTCTTGACCAGTCTACATGCCTAAATGCATCGAGTTGCTGCCACGTGATTGGCTGATTAGCCAATTGTCTTAACAAGCAATTGAACAGGTGTCCCTAATAAAGTGGCCGTTGAGTGTACATCGCAAGATCCCTTGATTGTGAGGGAAGAGCAAGGAATGGCCTTGTCTCTTGTCCTTTTTCCTGTTTCTGCTTGTCATCTCCTTGACTACAAAAGAAAAATATTAAACATCAGTGTGATGACTTCCTGGCTGCCATTTAATTAAATGCATCCATGGATTAACCACAGCCTCACAGTTTAAATGGGAATAGTAAAAGTTCCAATGCTTTATAATTCTCAGACAACACGATCAGCAGCTGCCTTACACTACTTTAATTAGACATTTAACTCCTTACATGCCACAGATAAGCCACATGTTTAAATGAATTCTAGAATAGATGGCAACAAAGCAGCAGAAGATATTACTTTCATTAGTCAAGTTTCATGTCTTGTGACAAATGTGCATCTTGTGACAAATGTGCATCTTGTGACAAATGTTCAGGACACCTAAAGGCACCTTACAGTGATGTTGACCCTTATACTAATTTATTGTTAAAAAATAAACCTGGTTCACGAATTAGGCAAATAGATGCACAAATGCAACTTTATTTCTCCAGGATGTTACCATAGACTGTATTAGAAGTGAACTTATCCACGGGACATCCCCTTGCTCTGCCTCTGATTTGCCAAATGAAATACAATGCGACCTCAGTCTGGCGAGTCAAATCAGAATTCATCCACGCAGCTCCTCTTTTTTGTAAAGATTTGCAATGCTTTATAAACGGGCAAGATGGTTCTAACATAAGTCTAGATCTTCCTTTGACATCTTTTATTTTTCAAACTCCAATCTCTCCATATATAGTAAAATTCTTTATCCACAAATCAGCAACATAATGAGAGAGAAATATACATGACATTCCATCAAACTAATTTTGACAGCTACTTCCGGTCCCGCCCCCATACCGGATATGTGTATGTATCTGATAAAAGGGGTGTATCCGGTCCCGCCCAAACCGTAAATATGTGTATGTAACTGATAAGAGGTGAGACTTTTTACTAATACCTTATTGTCAAGGGCAAACAAGCCACTATGGTTGAATTCAAGACATGCAATGAAACAGTGTAAGACTGCTGAACATCTTGTTATGGCTAGTCAAGAACCCCGTGGTAAATCTGGGCATAACATAAAAAATAAAAAGCCATATGATAGATATTGTTACAGACTTTTGTTGTTGAAGCTGCTGGTTCCTGTTGAGCTTTGGAACGTGCAATAAGTGTTATTAGCACAGATCACGGTTGAGCCAAAATAAAGAAGCTGATTTTTATTCTTTTACCTACATGAGATTTATTTTAACCTTCTGTTTTATTTTCATCAACAGAAAACTACTGTCCTGTTGTGTCAACAAAGTAGCTAACTAGCATTTGAATACTTCATCCCCAAGGGAAGAGTTCTGGATTTCATGACCTCTGTAATAGTCTAATAAACCCTAATTAGCAAAAGGCAGCTGGTTCTCAGTAGAAGGATCAAACTTTAGCTCTTGAAGTTTCCAGTAGATGAAATTTTTTTTAATTCTAGCTTTTATACTAAAGAGGAGGCCTGTTAGCATGACTAGTGACTTATGAGTAAGGCTTTAGTTTAGAATGAGGGACATAGTCTATATGTTACTGAAAGACTAAATTTAGAGTTATTTGGACGCTGTTAACACTTGTAGTTTAGGAAGGGGAGGGATGCAAGGAGGTGCGTTGGGTGGAGCACATTCCTCAATTCACCCTGCACAGCCTATGCTACACCAGAAAGAGAGAGGACAGAGAAGAAGAGACACAGACTCTAGAAGGATTAAAGTTTTAAGACTCACAAGTTTAAGACTAGGCTACAGCTTTTCACAAGATTGATAATGATGGCAAGTTTGTAAGACAAAGCACTAGCAAAGATTTTATAAAGTTTAATTTTGGAACTCACTCATAATGCGGTTTAATTTTTACTCACCGTTATACCATTTTACTGCTTTACTGTAATTATTTAAATTTATTCTTTACTTGTTTAATAATAAAGACTGACTTGATTCCAAATCAATGAAGAAACCTCCTACTCCTTTGCTGGCCCCGGAGATTCCTCCTTTACTTATAACTCACTGCTATACTTTTTTTTTAATGATAAATTTATTGCCATAAACACCTACTAGTTAATTCATTCAAGTTCATGTTTTATTACTTAATAAAGTCTTTAAATCAATGAAAAACCTCCTCCAATTATCAGTCAAAAAACACACAAGGGAAGGATGTACGCACCCCTCTTATCAGATAATACACATATCGGGTATGGGGGCGGGACCGGAAGTAGCAGTCAAAATTAGTTTGTCACGTATATTTCTCTCTATAATGTATTCAACATAGTATAACTTTCTAAAAATGTAACTTATTGTGGAACTCTGGCTGTTGTTTGTTTTATTGCCATATATCTTTAATAATCATAAATAAAAGAAAGGGGTTTGGGTAAAGGAGTAGTCTGCACTGTATATCTGCTTTGACGGCATTGGGTGGCAGAGCTAGGCCAGACATAGTTTTTAAGGATCATCCGTGAGAGACTGAGTTATCTATGGCACCAAGAGTGGGATGCAGACAGGAATGGTGACACTAGACTGGTGGGAGGCAACAATGTCCTAAACAGTCTGCAAGAAAGAAAGAAAGAGAGACAGAGACAGAGAGAGAGAGAGAGAGAGAGAGAGATATTAAGGACACAAATTTGTGGTTATTTTTAATGAACTGGGAGAAAATATTGTTATAATATTATATATGTTATATAAATATTATTTTGCGCATGCGGGTCAATCAGTTCACACCGGAGTGGGCCACATTTAAAAAATAACGCTACATTCAGTCAAAACATATGAGATCTGGGCAATATTGGAATTAAGCATTAAAGATTGCAGTGTAACGTAGCCTTAGGCCTGCAGTATGAAGGTAACCTTAGTTTAAAGTAAGTAATTAAGCCATAAAAAAGCGGGTCACGTGACAATTTCCCTTTTTATAGGGGCTATATCTTTCAATTCACACTCCATTTTAGGACTCCGTGGACTGCATGAGAGACAGATCAGGCGCTGCTGTTTTACCAGGAGCTTCATCTGATGAAAAGAGTGAGTTTGATTAACTAATGATTTACATATATACCTTCCAAGACTTCCAAAACCAGAAACCGGGAAAAGAACGGAACCACAGCCCCAGGCAGGAAAAATAGAACCATGTAGGCTGATCCGTGAGAGCAGGTGTGCTGCTTTTGTTAAGAGTTTGGTGTTTGTGGGTCTAAATGAAACAATGTAGAAAAAGCAGCAGTAGCCTATTTCTGTATTGTCTGGCTACAATTTACAATAAGCTGCCACGACTCACTCACATTGTGCATTCAGGTTTTATTGTTGTAAAGCGTTTGGCAATGTGATTGTCTCATCTTCTTCCTAAATGTCTCCAGAGCATGCCATTCACATTCTCTTTATATCCATGGGCATATTTTCGTAGTGAAGAGGTCTAATATGTAACTTTTTTGCCAATACAAAAAGTTATGTTCCAGCAAAGTAAAGGCTAACCTCTGAAAAGACACCGACAGATGACTGTGAGAATGTGTAATCAGAATGTTATTTCCTGGTTAGTCAACAAGTGGTCCTAAAAAGGCGTGACACACCTGCTTCACACAGGGGGAACACCACCAGATGATCTGGACCACCGTAGGCCTAAATATCACACAAAACAAAACCATATATTTCTCTTTTCCCCTTTTTTAAACAGAAAAATCCAAGAATTATCCATACACTGATTGGAAATGTTCTATCTCGTCATAAACGTCTGTATGCATCTTTGAATGCCTTTGGTCAAACTCCTTTGCCAGAAACGTGCCAGTCCTACTCTCAGAAGACTTCTTTGTACTAAAGTGGAGCAGCAGGCATTCCACTAGTTCTTTATCATCAACCTCAGATGCTCTGATCTAAATATAGGCTATGTTTACTCAATTGAACTATAGTAGAGGTGGATTATTCTCTGATCAGGTAAGACAAAAATAAAATCAACAGGCTACGTTTGAATGGATTCAGCTTTATTGGTTCATTTAATGGACAACATAATTTTCATAGATTTTAGGTATGCCATGCTTTGGCTCATGAAATGAATGGAAATAATAACAAAAATCAACTGAAAAACTTTATGTAAGACTATTATTATTCATATTGCCTAAAATAAACAATACGACAGTTTATATATTTCACCACACACTTTGTCTACAGACTGGAATCACAAGGTTCACAGCCATGACGAAGACAAAAGTGAAGATGTTCGTTGTCCTGCTGTGTGTGACTGGCATCTGGGTGTTGAGAGGACATGTTTCAAGAATGTTATCAGAATACTTCAGCCAGCTCCAGGACACATACCCCTGTGCTTTTGACAAATGCTTATCAGAAGATGATCTGTGGTCTATGCTGCATTTAAACACATCTGTTGAACCATTTTTGTCAGCGCAATACAATCTCTCAGAGGATGCTTTCAACTGGTGGAAGGTAAGTTGCTGGAACAGTCTCTCAACCTGCAGTTATCAGATCAGGATCAGGAAGTGAAACACAATTATATCACAAATTCATCATCACTTCTGCCCAACATTTGTTTTAGTTAAACAACTACTGAAGCAATACATTTCACAAGTAGTGTAACAGAAATGTTTGTTTGGTTTGTGTGTCAGCGCTTACAGGCTGAAAGGCACGACTTTAGTACCTATAAAACAACCGTGGACAGGCTGTTTGAGATGTTCCCATCCAGTCCAGATGTCATAAAACCCAGCCCTGACCTCTGCAGGAGTTGCGCTGTGGTGGGAAATTCTGGCAATTTGAAGCAATCACGATATGGACCTCTCATAGATTTACATGATGTCATCATAAGGTAAATCTTTCAGCTAAGGATTGTGAAGCTCTTAATTGTGCATAACTGTAAGCCTTAATACGATTTAAATGGGTGAGTTATATAAAAATTCACTCTCTCACAGTTGTCATGAACTGGGAAATTAGATACAAAAACCAGGCTACAGCCGGCCTCAAGTGTCCATTTGAGGAACTGCAGTTTTTTGTTCATTTTTCTGTCCTGGAGGTTGCTGCTTGGATAAACATAAACGTTTTTTCCTCAGTGTTAAAATTCAAGCAGTACCCTAATGTACTGTATTTTTGTCAATGACAGTGGCATATAAGATAACATCCCATTGTTCTATTTAGAATTAACCATGGTCCTACCAAAGGCTTTGAAGCAGATGTGGGGACCAGAACAACTCATCATGTCATGTATCCAGAGAGTGCCGTGGACTTGGATAACAACACTCATCTTGTGCTGTTTCCATTCAAGATACAAGATCTCGAGTGGCTCATCAAGGCCTTCTCTACTGGATTTACTGGAAGGTGAGTCAGATCTTTATTAATTTATTTATATAATATATAATAATCCTTATTTGTAGAGCAAGTTACAAAGTGATTTAACAAGTGTAAAGAATAATACAAAAAACAAGATATTTCTCCCCACTCCCCATGTAGCCCTAATGTGTTCAATACAAAATAAATAAATATGACATCATGTAACGTGGAAATTATCGCTGGTGAGGTATTGAGTGAAAAATTTAGTTACAACAAACTGTTGTCTTTTAATTATTTATTAAAGAGGTGATATTATGCTCATTTTCAGGTTCTTATTTATGGGTTGTACCAGAACAGGTTTACATGGTTTAATTTTCAAAAAACACCATATTTTTCTCATACTGCACATTGCTGCAGCTCCTCTTTTCACCTTGTGTGTTGTACGTTCCGCTCTTGAGCTACAGAGTGATGCATCTTACTTGTACAAAATCTTTGTTGGGAGTTGCACATGCGCAGTTCCCAGGTAAGGACTACTAGCCAATCAGAAGCAGAGAAGGGCGGGTTGTAAGAAACAAGGTAGTGTGATCCAAATCAAAGCCGCTTCAGACTGTGACCGTAACCTAGCAGATGCTATAAGTTAGTCTCAAGTCCACAACCACACAACATCATTGTTCCACATCTTACCACAAACCACTACAAAAATCATCATATTTCAACTCAATTTTACATAAAAATTGGTCAAACAATTTGAACGTGTGCTCAGTAGCTTTCACATCAGGTGTAACATTAGCATTATAGTTTACAATTTACAACAACTCTGCACTTCAACAGTCTGTGAAGTTACATTGCCGTGTTTATTTTAAATATACACTCACCTAAAGGATTATTAGGAACACCTGTTCAATTTCTCATTAATGCAATTATCTAATCAACCAATCACATGGCAGTTGCTTCAATGCATTTAGGGGTGTGGTCCTGGTCAAGACAATCTCCTGTACTCCAAACTGAATGTCAGAATGGGAAAGAAAGGTGATTTAAGCAATTTTGAGCGTTGCATGGTTGTTGGTGCCAGACGGGCCGGTCTGAGTATTTCACTATCTGCTCAGTTACTGGGATTTTCACACACAACCATTTCTAGGGTTTACAAAGAATGGTGTGAAAGGGGAAAAACATCCAGTATGCGGCAGTCCTGTGGGCGAAAATGCCTTGTTGATGCTAGAGGTCAGAGGAGAATGGGCCGACTGATTCAAGCTGATAGAAGAGCAACTTTGACTGAAATAACCACTCGTTACAACCGAGGTATGCAGCAAAGCATTTGTGAAGCCACAACATGCACAACCTTGAGGCGGATGGGCTACAACAGCAGAAGACCCCACCGGGTACCACTCATCTCCACTACAAATAGGAAAAAGAGGCTACAATTTGCAAGAGCTCACCAAAATTGGACAGTTGGACAGAAAAATGTTGCCTGGTCTGATGAGTCTCGATTTCTGTTGAGACATTCAGATGGTAGAGTCAGAATTTGGCGTAAACAGAATGAGAACATGGATCCATCATGCCTTGTTACCACTGTGCAGGCTGGTGGTGGTGGTGTAATGGTGTGGGGGAGGTTTTCTTGGCACACTTTAGGCCCCTTAGTGCCAATTGGGCATCGTTTAAATGCCACGGCCTACCTGAGCGTTGTTTCTGACCATGTCCATCCCTTTATGGCCACCATGTACCCATCCTCTGATGGCTACTTCCAGCAGGATAATGCACCATGTCACAAAGCTCGAATCATTTCAAATTGGTTTCTTGAACATGACAATGAGTTCACTGTACTAAAATGGCCCCCACAGTCACCAGATCTCAACCCAATAGAGCATCTTTGGGATGTGGTGGAACGGGAGCTTCGTGCCCTGGAAAGAATGCTTTCAGCACCTTGTTGAATCAATGCCACGTAGAATTAAGGCAGTTCTGAAGGCAAAAGGGGGTGAAACACAGTATTAGTATGGTGTTCCTAATAATCCTTTAGGTGAGTGTAATTCACAACCAATAAAGCCTACTTACAGGTTGTGATTGTGGATTTCCAGAGTCGGAGTTGCATCGTCTTTTAGGACTAAACCTTGAACTGTTGCCGGTGTTCTGACGATCTATGCTGCCTTGCAGAAAAATGCTACCATAGCGCAAATCGATAGACTGGACTCTACTCTGCCCTGCTCCGTTTTCCATTGCAGGTAGTACCCAGAGATAGTACGTAGCTCGTCGTCATAGCGAAGCCACACACAACTGCCGCAACATAATGTTCAATGTGACCCACACACCAGCGATCCACACAGCTTTCTCTTTTTTAAGTTAAAACGTTTCAACATTCCTCAGAATGTAAAGACAGATAAGCGGTATGAAAACCTTCCAGCTGTGTTTTCCTCTGCTGTTGTTGCTGCAGCGGTCTGTGTGACGGTGGGAGCAGAGGGCTCTGTGAGTGGGCGGCTGGGCGGCCTCACACGCTCCTCCCGCGGGTTGGCGCAGGCTTCCCCCGCAGCCACTTGCGGAGCTCCTCAACTCCGAAAATATTCAAGCACATTTTTGTTCCGCCATCACTTCTCGTAAAACTGTCTGCAGCAGCCCTTGGCATCAATAAACCCGCGTAGAGTTCGACCAGTGCAATATATCTTTATTGTTCCATCACGCACCATGAAACTAAAACAAAGCCACAATAAATCTTACAATACACGCATCAAAGATACATCTCCCACACTACTTGAATTAGCATTACACATGATAATTTTTTCCCAACATCAACAACAAATTAAAATACACACGTACCTCGCTCCACTTACCAAGGGTACAAATATTTAACAGAGGGTTGGGAAACTTCATTTAATCCTCGCCATTCCTTTAGACAACATATTGCATGCGGCAAACGCTTCCTGCTCCGGTGTGGATGTATCTCTCGTGAGCAGGGCCACCGAGCTTGTTTATATCAGTTCCCGGGCACGTCTTTTAGCCAGATGTGACTAACTCATAATAATGACACAAGCAAAGAAACGTCCACTTACATTGTCAATATTCTTAATCTACACAGCTGATTTCTGACCTCAAAACTTCTCAGAAGTGGATTTAGTGATGAAATTCCACACGAAAACTGTAAAATATTAAACTTTCTGTTGCTGGCCTCTGTCTAGTGCACGCAATGATGAGGCAGTGAATAGTAAATATTCTCTCGCACCAATCAGCAGTCTGTCCTGCTTGACATTTTAGTATCCCTCAGCTCGCTTGGAACCTCGATGGAGGTGAGGTGATACGAAAAAAAGTACCTGGAAGCAGGTACAGGTGCAACATTTCTACGATGGAAAACCAAACAAACGGGAGTCGAGCCAAAGGGGCTCCGCTCAGACTAGCTTAGCTTGACCCCGCTAGCCGCTTGGCAAGCTTTATGCTTTATTTCATTGTGACGTCACAAGTAAAGGAAGTGAAGGACTGGACTAAAAACAAGCTGTTTCAAGTGGTTCAGAGCAGAGCTTTCTGTGGGAGATGGAAACTCCCTTTGGGCTGGACTTTGCGCTTTTTCACTTTGCAAACCTGTTACATGCACAAAAAAGATATATAACTCAATAAAGGAGAGGGAAAAAGCCAAAAAGCACAATACTTTAATCAAAAGAGAATGACAGAGAAGTACTACAACAGAAAATCAGCTGGTCCAGAGACTAGGGCAGCTTCTGTCATCTGTCCCAGAGCAAAGGGATGAATAATGGTTTACACAGTCCAGGTTTCTATGTTTTGGGAGGAGTGGAATGACAAGAGAGGAAAACATTTTTTTCAGAATATAGACATTGTTGAGTTATGAGCAAGCTAGGGGATCAAACATATTTGTACTTAAGATTGATCCTTGAAAAAGGAACAACCTTGGTGATGATATATATGTATCACACATCCATAACTGATGTATGCTGTGGTATCTAAAATGTCTCCTAGATTAATCTGCGGGATAAAACAGGGACATCTACGATAGCTACAGGTGTAAATGTTTTGTTTGCACAAACCACTTTTTTGTCTGAGACCTTTGCTTTAATTAAAGGCTGTTGTATGGACCCATCAGATAAGCTTTTCCAAGTGTATGGTTTTTCTCACCAGTTTAGTAGCCCTGCCACAGGAATGAAATGGATAATAATGAGTTTGGTATATTTATTCCCTAGATTGAATTCAATTAGTTTTTTTTGTTATTACCTCAATATTTAACCATCACTAACTTTGACTGTTGATTGTAATAAAAACATCCAACCATCTCCAACCACAGTCTGTGATGGAGCGTTACTGTCTGTGAGAGTGTTGATTATGATCTTTGCCTAACAACGGATTTGTTGAGACAACCTGTGTGCATTAGGCCGCAATAGACTTCATTGGCTACTATACATGTTTGAGGAGTGGACATTTAGCATATGTTTAAACCAGTGCCATATCATTTATATCCACACGCAGTCCCAGGCCCTGCCTTAGTGAACTGGCCGGAGGAGGTTGAGGGGGGTTTGAATTAGGTGTAGTGGCTATCTTAATTGTTCGTAATTATAAACTACTTATCAACTAAACTTATTTCTGTTATCATAACCACATTGTATGAACGACGCAAGACAATTTTACGCGTTGTATTGGCCCGGATAGAACCAACGAACAGGTCAAAGGTCAGGTCTTGGTAGTTCCCGAGTACAGTGGACTGTGGAGAGCCTTTTCAGTCAGTAAGGCTCCGTTAGCTTAGTTTCATCAGTTTCAGGTTGGTCTAGTGCACAGTTTTCGCCATGAATCATGGGAGAGAGATTTATCTCTCTTTTTATCTTTATTAGTAATTAGGATCACCTCTTTATGATTGGTTTTGGAATAGATGAAAAGGTTTGTTTGCAGTGGGAGAGAGATGTACTCTCACTGTGATCCCATGTCCCAGTTTTATCCTGTCTGTTCGTATTGCAATTGTGACAGACTAATCTATTCAAAAGTCTGAGCAGAGTATGTGTTTCTGGCTCCAGTGGCAAATGTGTGTTTTTGCAGTGGCTTTGAGATCACACTCTCCTCCCATT